CAAGTATTTAATAATTATTAAGTGACAATAATGAAAAGATAAGAATGTCGAAGTAAATCGATATCCTTAAATTTATTTTTGTAATTGGCATTTATATTTACATCAATTATTAATTTTATTATCAGTCTTATCGTAGTATGATTTAGGGGAAATTTTTTATAGATTTCAAAAGTATCAATTTAAGCTTTATGATGATTGTAAATATGCAATGAATGTTGAAAATATAATAAATTTTCATTTATGAAAATACAAAATTATAATAAAATTGACTGATTATGTTATTATTAGTCATATAAATTGATCAAAAATTAATGTGAGATGTGTCTGACTTTTTAAAACAGACATGTTACTAACAGCTAACATCTATAAAATAAGACGTAATTTATTAAATCTTTGTCTATATCATTTTCCATTTCATATTTTTGTTACTGAATGTTGCTTACATTAAGTAATAATGTAAGATATTTATGAGGCACGTTTCATGCGACCAGTACGCATTTACCCTTATAACTTTAACAAATTAGAAAATACTTCTGAAAAATATTACTGTGAAGTCTCTTGAAAATTATAACTAATTACTCTTCAGTAGATCTTATATACGTGCCTCTATATTCTTGCCACTTCTTTTATCCTTATATTAATTCATAGCCAATAATTTCGAAGTAATTTCCATACGCATTTAGCACGATTATGCTAAGACATAACCATGAAATAAATTATATTCTTATTATATGCTAAACATATGCGCAATACGTCTCACCTAATTTTCAGACCAGTGGTTTACCTTCTCTAGTTAACTTTCGATATTAGTTTAGTGGGCTCAGTTCTGTGATTTAGAGAGATATTTATATCTTGCGACATATAAGTATATTAAAATCATCAAAAACTGATAAATTAGTTTCATATTTTATCAATAAGGCGCCATCGTATTTTATTTCACGGAAAATAAATCAAAATTAAAGCGTAATTGAAGTTTGCAGCACGTCACGGTGACGATATGAACGATAATTCGTTCCTATGAGATTATTAAATCACCGTTAAAAGATCACGATGATTTTATGTTGTACAAAAAACCAATAGTGTAGATTCAATTTTAAATTCGTTCATTCGTATCGTTATTAGATGAGCATAACGTTAAATCAGCACTTTAAATTTTGTCCCGATGAAAATATCGTCGAAATTTGCACGTTTTTAAATATTTTTACTCTAAATTACTTAACGACCCGCAATTCGTACGATAAAACCATTACTTGTTGCTCACTAAACTTGCGAAATCGATGCTGTATTTCCTTTCGCTGATTTAGCGCATTTGATAAATCGTGTACTTTGTATTCGGCTCGCGTCGAACTTCGAAATAAATGAAAATTACGGACGAGCTATTTTTAACAATAACAGGCCGTTTTGCCAGCTAATTAAAATTATCGCATGCAAAGAGCCGGTAACGCGCCGATTTCAGCAGCACATATCCGATGTCATTTCTCTCTCTCTCTCTCTCTCTCTCTCTCTCTCTCTCTCTCTCTCTCTCTCTCTCTCTCTCTCTCTCTCTCTCTCTCTCTCCCTCGCTGGCGTATTGCAAATTTTTCTGTATGCAAACGAAGCCACTGTCAAATAATATGCTGGCCCAGCGCGTCCTCATTGAGATTCCACACAGCAATAATCGGCCGATATAGTCGACTATTTTACTCCGGCAATCGCATTGTAAGCGCAATAAAGTATGCAAAATTTATCGGCATGGTCGACGTCCTCTCCGTTTTCTCGCGTATATACGCTATCCGACCATGGCATAAATTATTATTACATTTTACAAAATAACTGGGTCGTGGGATCAACTACCATTTTATTTATAACACGTAACGGACGACGTCTTATCGCGAAACTTGCGGGAATTGCATAATGACATGCGAGTCTGTAGACATGTAAATATTCTCGCATATAAATATTTATTCAAAGAAATTCGAATTAAGCAGGAAGGCTGAGATGATAAAGAGACAAGAATAAACAGAGTTGATATTTAAAAAAAATACAAAGAATTTATTAATAATCTTTAATAACGCGATTAAATTCCGTTTGCTATTTAAATTACGGTAATAATTATATAATAATTACTGATCGTTTTCGGAGGAATAGTTTCACATTATAGGTGAGAGAAAAGGGAGAGAAAAGAGCGCCGTCAAATAGACTCGATTATTACACGTTCATTTCCGAAATGCCCGTTTCTTCCCAGTTACAACGTTGTTACAACGTTGCTGAAATGTTTCAAAATGTTTCTTGCTTACTGGGTTTGATGTATTATATACGGTTATTTTCTGAAAGGATTTGAAAAGAGACACAGACGTCTCTTCCTACTTTCATTTGTTATTTGTGATGCACCATCTGGCTCTTTGCTTATCGGGCTGGTGTAAGCACGGCCTGATTCACGCCGAATCGCAATAAAGTGCTATTAGAAGTATTAGATCGTTAAAAGGAAACGGAACGATAACCGGACGAAGACAACGATGGAACATAGTCGCTATATGTATGACTCGCTGTATAATCCGATAAGATTATGAGAAATGGAACTTCCTATTTTTTCGGGAAGACAAGCCACTAGACTTTTAGGCCCATTTTCATTCCATCATACTGTGATCCCTGTTTGTAAGTTCAATATCTATTCTGGCTCGGTTTTTCATTTATTGGTTAACTTGTGATTAAGCTTAATCTGATGACATAATGTAAAAATTGCATTTTTCTATCTGTATATAATAATTTGACTAAATTGACGGTTTTATAGTACGTAACTTTTGTAGAAAATAAAGTTATGACACTACAAAACCATTAATTTAGTAATTATCAATTCTGAGTGATTACTCTTCTGAGGAAAATTAAAAAAGAATCCTGGCAAAAATTCGTATGTCAATGTGCACTGATCTAAAACGGTGTATAATGAGATCTTATAAGACATAGAACTTAAATTTTAAACCTTACAAGCCGTAAGAAATTAATTAATTACAGTCGAATATGAGAAAAACTATCGACTATTGGTCAATTTTTTACAGCTTAAGGCTTAAAAAAGCTTAAGTTTGAAGGATTAAAATCTGATGCCTTCGGCACACGATACTTGCTTTCTTGCTGGATTCCTAGGTAGATTAGAATCTTGCCATCATATTGGCTGCGGTACTGACAGTATCAGCATCATAGCCACGATGGTAAGAATTTATTCTAGCTAGCAATCCAGCAAGAAAACAAGCATCGTGCGCCACCGGCTTTATTGTAGACATAGGCTGCTTTCTATTTGATGACACAAGTCGACACAAATGTTCTATCTTTGTCACTCTCTGAATATCAACAAGGATAGAACGACGCTTGTGCCGACTTGTGTCATCAAATGGAAAGCACCCATAGCTACCTTCAAGACAATCTTTAATATAGATAGGGCTTAAAAAATTATAAATTATGTAGACATCGATTGACGAAAATCATCAAGTTACATATACATTGATTAACGACAACTGCACTGTAAATTAGATAGTGGTGTTCAACAGAAGTCAGCGCTTAGTAAGCGCTAGTAAGCTTTGTGTGGATTGGATCATACTTTTTGATCTAGAAGATAGTCCTGTGTGTGTGAAGACAACTTTCAACAGTTGTAAAAATGGTTCAACATTCTGCTGAATACAGCCATTTGTACAAATTTTCCCTTTACTTTTTTCTTTAAATTGATCATCGTTCGGCTCAATGGCTCCGTCACTGCATGCTTCATTTCCTAAATCGAAAATCATGAAAGCGCAATTTTGTTGACCGACGATTGCGCGCGATTCTAATAAGCATGTCACCTCCAGATGCTTGACAAATACTTTTTAAGCGATCACCGGCGCTTACACCTGCTTTAAATTTGTTTAAATTTGTCCATTATCAAGCGCACTTTATCGGATTGTTGTTATTGACATTTACAAATAAAATCAAACAGCCAATTTAAAAATTGTACAAAAACATTATGTGAACACATATAAATTATTACACTGAGAAACTATATTAAATTTTAATAAATATTTGTGTTTGAATAGTAGAGGGAAGTCGCCGATACTGACATAGGTCTCCTAAAGTGTGACACCCCCTTATTTCTCAGAAACTAACTATTGCACTTTATTAATACTAATAAAATCATGATCTGTTTAGCTAATTAAAGAAGCACAAACTCATAATTCGTAGGTTTGTGGCTTGTTTCT